CATCCCAGAAAGAATCGAGTAGGTCCATGTTGAGGATTTCTTCAAATGTAGGCTCACGCAAACGGTGCGGGGGTCGGAAATGCCTGTTGTACTTTGTGGCATGTCTCAAGTACGTCTCCGTTTTCTTTTTCAATAGATCCCTCTTCTTCTTACGCAGGTGTTTGTTGCGTGGCTGCTGTGTGGCACCTGTTCAGAGAGAGATGAAAACATTACTGATCGAAGGATTTGTCTTTTGGTGAGTATTTATTGGGGATACTTACCGGTTCTGATTGCGGCATTAGCTCTCTGCTGGATAACATCAAACTTGGCCTCGTAGAGGGCTGCGAGTGCTACCTGGACCGTCAAGACTGCCTTAATGCGGTTGGCTGGAGTATTAGGTAAGCGGCGCTGACCAAATTTGTAATAGGTGGCTAGATCTAGGTAACTCACTTGTTCCTCGACGAACGTTATACAACTCAGTATTTCCCAATTCGTCAGCGACTTCCTGGACTTTTGCTTCAAGATTTGCAAGGGATGCGGGCAGGTCAAGTACATCGTGACGCTGCTCACCAGTTCTTATGGCTGCATTCGCGGGGTTCAACTCGACCAGTCTTTTACTGATTTGTTCACCCACTCATCAAAGGGTAGGAATGAACATTCGAAGGGTAGGAATCATTTTTCACAAGTAAATCAACGTACCGAGTTTCAAGGAGGTCCTCTTCAAGTTGAACCAATACCGTCACCCGAGCGCGTTGCTCCTTAGATTTGACGTTGATCGCCTTGAGCTGTAAATCACGCTGGCGAACCCACTGAGCCTCAAAGTAAGCCATAGTGTGTGTAGGGTTTTGACGTTCAAGTTCAGTTAGACTGGTCTGTGATTGCTGAACCTCAGCCACGTATTTTTGCGTGTGTGTGACAAGGAAATGGACTGAGTGGAACTTAATCAGCTGATCACGTCAGAAGGTGATGAAACAAAGGTATAAATTACAACTTACCTCCCTTGTTGCGCAGAATCTCGTTCTTGTGAGCTGTCCATAAGTCAAGACTGACAAGACGGTGCTGCTTGGTTGCATAGCGCAACAGTTTGATCAGGGGTGACAGCTTCATCCATACTCTCTCAAGCCCCTCCCCATTCGATTTGCCCCACCCCTGATTGAGACGCGGTTTGTACTCAAGTTGGCAACCCCAGTTGTGCGCGTACGCATGGAACAATGCGGTTCCGAAACGAACTTGGGCCGCATGTTTGTCATCTGTGAAAACTTTTTTCTTTAAAGTAGGAACAAAACATATACAAAAA